GTTTCAAGGAACTATCAAAAAGCCTAAAGATTAATCAAGCATATTTTCTTTTACTCTGATAGACCAAAAACAATAGAGATAACAAGTTTATATATTCCACTCCGCTTTCACTAAACAACTTATGAAAACAGAACTCTTCCCAAGTACAAATAATACACTAGGCACTGGTCTTGATAAAACCTTACAGTTTCTAAGGGACTTCAGCATCAAAGCCAAAGATCCAACCACTGCTTTGAATTTGTTGTACAACAGCATCACCAGGTGGTGGTTTACATAACCTGTGTTTGAGCTCCTTCAGCAATAAGGAACTTAGTCTACTCCATTTTCTGACACTTCTGATTGATTATCTGAAATAAACTAAACTAGAAATTTTCGTCTAATAATGATTTTATCTACTGACTATTTTTATTCTTGAGGGCCATGTAGAACAAACCTAATAACTCTTCTAATTAACAACCCTTCAAATATTTTAAAGTAATTACCAGAAATTTCAACTATTCAATCTAAATGTACAAATTTAACCCAGCTACTGCTCATGTATAGTATTCAAAATTTTCTAATTTCCTCCCAAGAAGAAATTCAAACATAAGAATCTAATATTTAAAGTTATAGTAAATCACACAACTACACACATTCTCAATTGTAAACATTTTAAAAACAGACCTGTGTTTTAATACTGCTGAATGTCTTGAGCAAACTTATTCACAAATAAGTCTATAGAAAGATAACTTACTAATATTAGCACAGGTTCATTTGATATTTTAACAAATATTTTCCATATGTTAAATACCTCAAATAGTGCTTTTCATTTTTTAATTATAGCACAAATGACCACTTAAAAATTAAACAATTCATCATTATTTTAAAAGGGGAACTAAATCTTTTTAATTACATAATTTCTAAAAATCCTAGGAAATTAACCATAAGATGTCAGGCTTGCAGTGAGCTTGCACAGGTAAATATGCCATGTGAATATACACACAGTTGTGCTAAAGAATAAAACTATAACTGATGTTTCCTATAAATGGCCTTTGGTTGACAATGAATGATTAAAGAAACTATTTTTAACAAAGGAGTTTCTATTTTGCTATAGTACCAACCAAACAACCAACAGATTATATTTACATTTAGGTAATATTTCACAGTTAAAGGTCTTTAGATATTCGTCCATTATTAAGTATGGTAGAAACTAGTGTATATTCCTATATTCCTCTTCAGTATAGCCAGTTTCAGACATTTCCTATCAAGAAAATGAATGCAACCAGTACTAGACAAAGAAAGGACAATTTCAATTTAACTAATTCAGTTAATATTTGAGTATTACTTGAATAATTACTCAAGCAACACTTAAGCGTTTTAGAAACTTAAAATGCAATTTAAATAACTTGTCAGTATTAATATGCCAGTAAGTCATATAATAAGGTTTTCTCTGAAAAAGCAATGAAAAATTAAATGCTACTATATATTCTGGTCTACTAAAAATAGGGTTACTTTTGTACTAAATATGCTTCAGTTAATTTTCTTAAATGGTCAAGCCATTAAAATGACAATGCATTTGCTAGAAGCATTATAATATTTTTATTAGGCTCAATGTGAGCAAGACTTGCTAATTATGAAAGAAAGTTAGAGATAGAGTCTCAGATTTTGAGAGTTTTGCATATTATAAGTGGATAATAATTAGTTCATTTAGAAAAAGGGGAATTATTTTTATTGAGCTGACTAGGATTTCCATTTCCTGATACACCTCAGCTTCTTGGTTAACTCCAGGCAACTTACTATCTGGTTACTTATTATCTGGTTCAGATTTCAGCTATACTGCTATTTATCTGGAAGATGTTCTGCATAAACAAACATTTTGGATAATTCATGCTTATATAATTATATGACAAACTATTTTACATTACAGTTACTTTATAGATATTTTCTAAAGATCTTAGCTTCATGCTTTCTTAAAACTATGTTGAAACTTAACATTTTCTACAGATTAGTCACAATGTGAGCATGAATTGTGCAGTGGTACTGTTAACACTTGGATCTTATGTCTTCTCATCTCTACTTGATGCCAGCAGTGCATTTGTGATTGCTAATGCCTTAGGTGAGAACCTTAGTAGAGTCTGCAGGCTTTTGTAAGCATAAGAGGCCTAGACTTTGTGCCATCTGGCTACTCTGAAACCTTTTCCTCTTTCTCCTTGTACCTCCATGGTTGATTTTCCCAATAATTAAATTTACCAAAGAAAATCACAGCAAAATAGGCTGTTGGCAGTAGGAAGGTAGTTCTGAAGAACTCTGGATACCTGAGCACAGAAGCAGAAAAACACCTTCGCTTAGAAGGAAGCCTGGCTAACTTGTACAATGAAGTTTCCATCCCTCCCCATAGAAAATTGGAATTAAACTGTTGTTTTTAGCTTTTTCTGTCCTGTATGTGACGTTTTTCTCTCCCCAGATGATCTAATAGCATATTTTGCATACTGCTGGTTCATTTGATACAAAGAGGTTTAGAAAGGAAGAAAAGAAACAATAGTAGTATAGTTTAAGTATACATAAAGTATAAGAGGGTGACTGTGATGACATTAGAAGAAAATAATATGTTTGACATGTATTTACACATGATAAATGCCAATAAAACTATGAATCTGAGTTTATTCTGTGGGGGTACTTAAGATAAAGATAAATTGTGTCTATTTATAAGGCTAACAAAAGAGGACTTTTGAAAAGCACTGAGAATTTCAAAGCCATCAGAAACATTAATAAATCTCTCTGCATATAAATTAGAATTATAGAAAAATCTAAATCTTGTTTTCACTACAAATAAAATGAACAAATTGATTCAATTAATTATCCAATTGTTTTCACTTTGTTAATTTACCATTAGTAATAGACCAGTTTTTGCTTTTTGTTTTTCTTTTTTTTTTTGGTTTGTACTGGTTTGGTACTGGGGATTTAACCCAGGGACACTTTGCTACTGAGCTATGACTCTAGCCCTTTTGATTTTGAGACAAGGTTTCACTAAATTATGTGGGAAGGGCCTCACTAAATTACTAAGGTTGGCCTAAAACTTGTTATCCTCCTGCCTCAGCCTCCCCACTAGCTGACATTATAGGCATGTGCCACTATGCCCAGATGTGACAAGTTAAAAAAAAAAATACTGATGGCCTGTTTCTCTTTACCAAAGAAGTCCCTGTAACTCAAATTTTATACAAACTATTCTAAGTCATTCAAAATAACAGATAATTTGCTAGGCAGAGTACTGCATGCCTATAATCCAGCCTACCATAGAGGCTAAGGAAAAAAGATCTTAAGTTGAAGCCCAGCCTAGAAAACTTAGCAAGATCCTTCCTTGAAATAAAAAGTAGAAAGGGGTGGGGATGTAGGTTCAGTAGCAGAAGGTCTCTGGATTCAATCTTCAGTAGCTTAGAGAGAGAGAGAGAGAGAGAGAGAGAGAGAATCCAATCCCCTTGATTGCATTATTCTCACTTCTTTGATTTCACAAGAAAAATGAAAATTATTAGATGGTATTTGTGTAACTAATAAAAACTTATTTTACTTTCAATTTTTCCTAGTGACATTTTCCAAAAAGACATTTTAAACATTAACTGTATTAATCTATGAGGTTTAAATAAATTAAAATCTCTTTATTTATACTACCTGGTTACCTAAAAAAACTATCAATTTAAAGAAAACACTTTCTTCTTTAAGAGTAAATAAGCACAAAATATATGAGGGGGAAATTTTATCCTATAAAACTTACCATATTTTTTTCTGTATACAACTCAAAGCTACTCACTAAATGTATCCCCATAGTCTCATACCTGAGAATACATAACAAAAATTACTGAATTAAAACTACTCAAGATGACAATATCTTTCTGATGGCATCTCTACACAACTACATGAAACTAAAGTATACCTGATACTCTAATAACTAAAGGAACCACAAAACAAAGAACATTCTTTCTTCTTTTGATCCTCAACCAAATAAATTACTCTGTTCTCCTATCTGTAAAATGGGACAAGTTGGAACAGTGCAAATTCATTATCAGTAAAAATTAAACAAAAAGTAAGTACTGAATCATACCTTGTTTTAATTCCAAACCTTCAGATTGTTTGTTCTCTCTCAGAGATGAAGTAGAATCTATACAGGTGTCCTGTCTGAGAAATGAACATAAATAAAAAGAATTTTTAAAGTATATTCAATTGAATATTTACTGTCCAAGTTCTTAGAATTAAGTTAGGCACAAAGAAAGATATAATGAATCCTTCTAAGCCCCAAGGTAACGTTTAGTACACTCCAAAGACTCAAAAACATGTACACTAGTGTCAAAAGGAGCAGCTACAAACAACTACCAAGTTAAGCAGTATATTTCTTTGTAAAATCAAAGTGCACACCTAGAAGGAACATGGAGGTAATTTTTTCTGCCTTCCAATACTCTCCAGGATAGCTGATGGGAGAAATCACAACTCACAGCAGTATCCAATAATTTTTTAAGTTCCACTGTTAAATTTAATGGACATTTTGGAATTCAAATTACTTTATATTCATCAAATTTCATACCTCAAATGCTTTGATGTCTACAGTATGTAGAAAATGCATAATTTATATGTAATGTACATATGTAATCAAAGTAAATGGATTAAATATAAAATCATGCAAAAAAGTTTCAATTCACTATGTTCTGTAATAGAGCTGCAAATTAAATTGATACTTTTCTTATGACAGCATTATACTACCTAATATTGATGCTACAAATACTTTTTGACAAAATAGAAAATCAAAAAACTGTAAATATTTAAATGAAATAAATGTATATCTTACTCTAAATATGTAGCCATTGCCTTTGGAAAATTTTTATATATACCTTAAGGTTATCATATTAAAATATTTAGAAAATTTCCTTAGTCACAAAACTATTTCTATCTAGTTAGCAGCACCAAATCCCTCAAAATAGGGATTAAAAAAGACATGATAATTTCTTTGAAAGGTTTATATTCTTTCCAGTCATCATATTTGGCATGCATTTGTTTATTTTATAGCAAAACTTCACTAATAGAAGTATGAATTCAAACAAAAAAATTATTTGGTTTTGGTATTAATTGTGATATCTATGATTTATAATTGTCATGTCTCCATTTTTATGCTTCTTTATGGTCTAATATCACCTACTCAGATTTTATTTTTTCACCAAATAATAGGGAGATCCCAAATAAGATCTCAACAATTTTTCTTGAAAATCTAGGGACAAAATAAAGAACTTCGGAAGGAAAGTTAAAATATGCTACCTCAAACCTTTAATCAAATTAGATATTACCTACTGAGAACATCTAAGTAGTTCCCGTTAGAGAAAATATTTGTTTGCTTTATACATCTTTGAATGGCACTTAATTCTTTGTGTATATACATATATCTAAATTTACAAAAAATGTACACATGTACCAAAATATCATGATACCCCATTAATATTAATTAATATTAATTAATAAATAAGAATTCATACCCCATTTGAATCAAATGTATGATAAATGATATGTCAAGATCATTGTAATGTTTTGAGCAACTAATAAAAAATATGTATAATTTTGCATTTTATGTATCAGTTCAAATAAATTTAATTAAAATAAATAAATTTATAAAAATTACTTAAACAAAACATAACAATCAATAAGAGGAAGATGGACATATGTAACACAAAGCTATGTATTCTGAGAATGGTAATCTATATTATAAGGTACCATCAGACAAACCCAAAATGGAAATAAGCAGTATTCTAATAAGAAAAGTTCAATTTCAATGTTATGAAAGACAAACAGCTGTGGAAATATTCCAGGTTAAAGGAGGCCAAACAGTCATGAAAACTGAACGTTATAACTGATTTGACACCACAGAACTGGAGGGGAAAATGTTATAAAAGATATTTCAGAATCAAAAGACAAACTCAAATACTGATGGCGGATTGGACAAAAGGATTTAATCAATGTTAAATTTCCCGAAGTTGATACTTGTTGTGGTTATACCACAGAATACTGCTGTCCTTTGGAAAAACACAACGTAATATTGAGGGGCAAAGTGCCAATGATGTATTTAACTTAGCCTCAAATGTTTCACAAACAACAACAATAAAACTTGCATATGTAATTATGTATGCAAAAGGGATAAAATGTTAATAGGTAAATACAGATAATGGTTATAAGGATGATTCTTACAGCAGTATTATTCTTGCAACACTTTAGTAAGTTTGAAATTATTTTCAAATAATTTAGGTAATAAGAATGCAATAAAAGCCGGGCACAGTAGCCATACCTGTAATCCTAGTAGCTTGGGAGACTGAGGCAGATCACAAATTCAAAGTGAGCCTCAGCAACAGCAAGGAACTAAGTAACTCAGTGAAACCCTGTCTCTAAATAAAATACAAAATAGGGCTGGGGAATGTGGCTCAGTGGTTGAGTGGCCCTGAGTTCAATCCCCGATTAAAAAATAAAAGAAAAAATGTAATAAAAACTGTCAGTGTCCCTTAAACATCCCCCAAATAAAATTAGATTCCTCTATAAAGATTATCTTGTCATAAACTATTTATTTGCATGTTCAACATGAACTCATATAAAATTTTATCTTGGATTTAATCAGGCTATTGAAGCCACCAAGAGAATTTCAGACAGTAGGTTTAGTACACCACCCTGTGGCAGAAAAGTGAAAAGCTACATGCCTTTATACCACTAGTATCTGGGATAGATGTGGGGGAACCAGAAAGAAAAAAAAAAAAAAAGAACAAGAAACAGTTTTCAATAATTTAAAATTTAAAAATCAATACTAGCTAATTTTTCTAAGATATAGACTTAATTACTCTTAAAATTATGATTAAAGTTCTCTAATATAATGTAACCATCTCCATGAGATAACATGAAAGGCAAGATATTTACAAAAAAGTAAATGTCTTTAAGTATGAGAAAACTACAAAATCTATGTCTCTTATTTCTAGTTTTATAAAAGTTGAAAAGTCTACTCTCAGGTGAGAAGACATACTCAAAATCTAAAATAGGAAAGCCAGAACTGGAAAACCCCAATTTTTTATATTATATTTTTTATATTTAAATGGCATTTAAATTTTTCTAGCAGACACTTTAAGAAATTGCTAATAAAAAACTGGAAAGATGGGGCAAGACAGGGAACATGTTGCCAAAGCCAGTCTGGATTAAAAATTCTGCAATGATCTTTGTGTTCCTTTCCATTTAAAACAAGAGAATAAGACTGTTTTGTTTTGTTTTGTTTCTAATTCCCTTCTTTCAAGTGCAATGTTCTTTCTTTAAAACAGCCTAAATTTACAAGCATGGACTTGAATTATAAGAAAACCGGATATTTAAGTTCTCAAATTAGCATTAGTCCAACTTTCTTTTCTTTCTTTCTTTTTCTTAGAGATCAAACCCAGGACCTCACACTTGCCTCATGCTAGGCAAGTTCTCTATCATTGAATTACATGCCCAGACTCCAAACTTTATTTTACTCAAATAGTTAACTACCTAATGCTATCCTTTTCTTATAAATCCATGAATTAAAAAAAAAAATCAAAGTAACACACTGAGAGACTTAATTAAAAAAAATAACACATGGGAATTTATAAAGATTTAACATACATATATTTCTAAATGTCAGGGAGGAGCGTCAATTTCTTGTCCAAATGAAAAATACTAGGAAAGTATCTCAACAAAATGATAAACAGGACCAAGCCAGTCTGATCATTTTCATTTTGGCAAAAGTCAACTGACAGCGAATCAGATAATCTGGCATAACAAAAGGTATAATTCTGGATTATTTTCTCCATATTCCTGAAAGTAAAAACAAAAACAAAACAGCAGCAACAAGGCCTATATTCCAGTTATGTAGAGACCAAGACCAAGGCAGGACTGTAAGTTCAAGGATAGCCTGGGCAATTTAGTGAGACCTGTCACAAAATAAAATGAAATTGATTGACTGGCTGGCTGGGGGTGTAACTCAGAGGTACAAAGTTTGCCTAGCATGCATTCAGGCCCTGGGATCAATCCCTAGTACAAGGGAATGGAGGTTGGAGAGGGGAACAGGTGAACGAATGAAGCCAAGTTATCTTTTCTACTATTAAAAATAAGAAATAGTCAAAAAAGGGGGGGGTGGTTTAAGAGGAATTAAAAAATTGGAGAATGTATACTATTAGATTTCAAAACTACATATATAGGATCAAGAGGATTTTCAACCAAGTTTCAAAGGCAATTTAATGGAGAAAGATTAGTCTCTGAAAAAGTAGTATTAACAAATCAGATGTCTACATGGACATGATTTTTTAACCTATACTTTATACCTTATGACAACATTAACTTAAAATGGAACAGAAACTGACATGTGTAAATTTATAAAACTTCTAAGATATAGAAAAAATCTTTTATGACCTCGGGTTAAGCAAGGATGTCATCAGAATTGGGCTATAAATAAAAGTAACAGGTAAGTTAGATTTCATCAAAATTAAAAACTTCTACTATTCCAAAGAGACTATGAAGACAAAGATATAGACTGGAGAAAATATTTGCAAGCCACACATCTGATAAAGAACTTCTATCAAGTCAGGTGCAGTAGCATGCACCCATAATCCCAGCTTGGGAGGTTGAGGCAGGAAGATCACTTGAACCCAGTAGTTAAGGCCAGCCTGGGCAACAGTGAGACCTGCTTTAAAATTTAAAAAAAAAAAAAAATTTAAATATCCAGAATATATAAAGAATTGTGAGATCACAATAATAAGAAAACAACACAATTTTAAAATAGATTAAAAAATTAAGTCACTTCACCAATGGAAGATACACAGATATCTAATGAACAGTAACAGAAATTCCACATCAAAAGTTATTAGAGAAATGAAAATTAAAATGATAATGTGCATTACCACTATAAATTAGAAAGACTAAAATAAAAACAGCTGACAAATGAAACTCTCATACTTAGTATCAGCAAGGATACAGACAGAACCCAGCAATCCTTTTCCTAAATATTTGCTTAAGTAAGATGAATTTGTGTGTCCATACAATAAAAAATTGAAACAATTTTAATGCCTTTGTATTAGTTTTCTATTGTTGCTTTAAATTACAACAACCTAATGGTTTAAAAGAATATAAATTCATTTGATTACAGTTCTGAA